GGCCAATCATTCCTAGTCATTTTTCCTATCCTTATTCTGAAATGATTGACATGTAAAGATGAGATATGTTAGTGGTGAAGTATATAGTACTATGTGCATATGTTACTGTCTTTCAGAAGAACCATGCTATACTATTAGTTGGACTCCGCGATCCTATAATCTTGTACAGAATTGACAATGTGAAAAAAAGCGAGCTGATTGTGAGTAGGGTGCTCCTTGGAGGCGCTGACGTATATTAATGTGTGTGAATAAAATCTTCTAAAAACTTTCCATTATTCATGCGTTTGTAATTTGAGAACTCATGCTTCTTCGATGCCGCTACATAATCCTGAGGTGACTGATGCAGAAACTCAGCTAGGTTCTTCAGAGTAGTAAACTCTGGCAGTGGGAGGCATATCTCTCTTTATTTTATCCTTTAAAGTTTCGAACTTTAAACCATATAGCCTTTCGCTTAGTTGCATCAATGCTTATAATTGCTAACCACCTAAGCAGCAAGGTGGGTACAAGCTTCTCACCAATAGCCTCATGACAGGAGGCTCATATGACTTTCTCGGCGCCCCTATTTCCAATAACTAGGGTATGTGTTGGATCCGGGTGTTGTGTGTGTCGTACTGCTGCCACACGGGACTTCTTCTTAGGTTTATTTCACTGAAGAGGCGAATGCAACAATTAAATTGTTGCATACTTCACTGCATCACTCTTTTATACTGTAGTGGTACAGGAAACATAACAATCAGCCATATCATTTTAAACAACCCTACATAACAAGCAGTTTCGAATCATTTTTGATAACATGCATGCTGTGGTGGTTATAGAGGATTCTCTATAGGGTAATCGTATGTTGTACAGAAGGATGGATGGGAGCCTGGTGGTAGGTAGTAGGAAGTGATGACAATAGATGGGAACTGATAAGAAGCTTCAAAAAGCAAAAGCCATATGATCCCTTACTCACTTAATGTTAACAGTGGAGCCCTGGCACTTCAGTGGATCTGAAAGTGGTGTAAGATGTGAAGTGACCTTAAAAGTACGTGGCAAGGACTGCTAGCAACTGATAGGAGGTGATAATGAGCGGGAGCCACTAGGTCTATAATACCCTTCGTGTCGATAGTGGAACCTTGACACTTTAGCAGGTAGTTTGGATGGGAAGGGTAGATGAATGGTGACAAAGATGGATAACTATGACAAGAGCTGATAAGGGCCTCATAACCCCCTAACAGTTGGAATCCTATTCACCATGTAGCTATTTACTGTTTACTATCTTTCATTCGATAAGACGAGATGGTAGAATAGGATTGCAAAATGCGAGTAGTAAGTGCAAAGAAAGGGCTGATTAAAGGTGCATCATCACGCGTAGGTGGAATTCTGGTTCATATCTTGCCGTTAGATTACGACCGCTACCCTGCAGGGTTTGTGACTCAATGGAGGATCGCGATTTCTCGTTGTTTCGATATCATTTGTGACAAAACCTATCCCACAACCAACAACCTGGGCTTCTCATCTTGTGATATAACAGTAGAGGAAAGAATTCCGTAGATAACAGAGCCTGATAACGAGCTTATTATCACTCGGCAAGGTTTGTGAGAATGGGTGGTTATTTATAAAGGCATAGCTCACAAAAGTTTTGGATAACAAAGATTATGACGAAAAATGAATGATAAGATGGAAAATATTGGGATGAAAACGAAGAAATGCGTGAATCGGAGTTTCAAAAGTGAAAAAAGGCTACGAAGAACAGTCAGAAAGGGGGCTGGACGGGATTGAGACCAGAAAAATGAAGAAGGATCGGGCGTTTGGAAGAGCTATACAATGTGTCTCACGTGTGGGTCCTGGCGCAAACAACCGACTACGGTAAGCAAAAATTCATTCATTTGCAAGCATAAGTAAAAAAAACCCTAGTACCTGCAAAAATAGCTCACGTTTATCAGCCTCTGGGAGTAGGAAAATAAATAAGGGATCGCGGCAGCAAAAAGAATAACAGAGGGAAAAAGGAATGGGAGAAAACACCGCCTCATCACTCGGCGATCAGCTGATTGTGTGTGGGTTTTACAACGAATATTGCAATCTGTATCGCCTCGACACTCGTCTGACGCGACATCGATGGAGGGGCAGGAAGTCCGGGCTATCCGGTGACGGGGCTCCCATATACCCTAGCTGTTGAGGTTTAGGACTCGACAGCGTCCCTACTGTTACCCTTGGGGGCCACTGTGTATTCCTAGGGGGAGAACTCAGAAAGCATTTTCACCGTGGACTGTGCCTTTAATGTCGTGAAGGAAAATCTCATAGTGGGTCACTAAGTTGTCATTTTTATTACCTTCAACCACGACTACACCCTTCTCCCAGAACTGCTTTAACTGGATGAGCTATGGAGAAACAAGTGAGGGGAAAGCCATCGACCGGAGCGCTAGCTCTCCATTCTTAAGTGATGAAATGAATATCAAAAAAAAAAAAAAAAAAGAATACAGACAGAAGAAAGTAAAGATAGTAAGAAAGTAGAGAATGATGGATAGATCGAGAGAAAGAAACAAAGAAACAAGGAAAGAAACAACAAAAAAAAGAAAGAAAGAGCAGAAACAAAAAGGCTATCGTAAAACAGGATAATGGTGAATTGCCAAAACTGTAACTCTAATAGTCTTTCCACTTACACTACCCAGTGAAAGAGAAAAACTAGAGTAATAACTTCAATCGTCTTTATCGACCTGTGGCATATCTTCGACATCCTCCTCGCTACTGCTAACCTTATCACCAAACAAGGCCTGTTCAGATACAGTTGTATCCTAAAAAAGACCAGTGTATTTCTACCGTAACGAGAAAAGACATATAATATATATCCATGTATGCATGTATATGAAACAGAGGCAGAAAAAAAAAGAAAAAGGAGGGTAAACAAGATGCAAGGAGAGATAATGATATGAAAGAAATTAAAAGAAGGAGAGAAATACCTGAGCAGATGTAGCAGATATGCACGTCTTAGCATTTATGGGTAGGCCAAACACCTTGCGTTTATCGTCGGCTTGAACTATCTCCCAACGAAAAGATTCCGCTTCCAGATCAGCTCGAAGAAGACGTTTCAGCTCACGTTCCACCTAAAACAATGGAACTACCAAAAAGAGTCTTTTTTTAAAATAACATTTGTGCCAAGCTTCGTAGTGGTTACATTTTCACCCGAAAAGTTGTGCTTCGGAGCTCCCATTTCGTGAGAAATGATAGATTAACTGTACTATTACAGAAATTGCTGAGGCTTATTTAACGTACATCCATCTAACAACGTCTCTGCACTTGATCTTTAATCAAAAGCGATTAAATTTTATATTTATTTATTTAAATTGCACTCATGGCGCGCATAGACAAAAACAAATGTGTGTTAGTAATACATAAAGGAGGGAGAAGAATAAACTAGAATAATATCAAATTCAGATATAACTGTTGACCGAACCACGCGCTGCACGTGGATGAGGTGCTTACCACCGTACCCCGTAATTCTGCTTTAGATAATTACCAATTGCAAACATGACGTAGTTCATAAAGAAACTATCATTTAACAAGCAAAAATAGGACTGCGTCATGTCATTAAAGACACAATAGGTGGGCAGAGTTCAATGAAGGCCAACATTAAGTCAGTTATTCAATTTGCCGCGAAAATAGGTTATCGACGAGAGAGATGGTGTGAGGATCTTCAGCTAGGAAAAGAAGATATGTGATGAAAAGAGATCATTCTTTTGATTAGAGCAAGAATATTGTTATACGGTGCTTCATAGATTTGATGTGGTGCTTTACCAACGCCACCAAATCCGAGATTGTACCTTGCCTAGCAAAACAAAAGCGATGAGATTCACCTCAGGTGCTTCCATGTACTTCTTCTTCTTTGTTTTTCGGAATCGTCGTTGACGCACGCTTTTCATTGGAGGTGTGAGACCATGAGGATATTGCCACTGTTTCAATTCCTGAAAAAACCCTGATAAATGCAAAGGAATATCTTTGACAGCTTTTTAG